ATCTCCTCCCAGATGAGATTCAGTGGTTCCTAGTTCTAGGTGACCTTGGGCAAACCCCTGTTTTTCGTTAGTTCTGGAGCACAAGCAAGCTCTGTGCCAGACATTGTTTAAATCCAGAATTACCACAGTGAGAGATACAGTGGTAGCCTGCAAGAAGTTGACAGTGATCTGCGGAGGAAGGCAGATTATGGTTTTCTGAATGGTGACTCCAGCATTTGACTATTACTTTTTTTCTGTTAGGGTGTAGATGATGACCGGAGAGAGACTAAACCCGTTGCCATGGAGTCAATTCCTACTCGTGGTGACACCATGTGTTATGGAATAGAACTGCTCCATAGGGTTTTCTTTAGGGAAGCCAGTTGCTAGGCCTTTCTTCTGAGTCGCTGCTATATGGGTTAAAATCGTCAACCTTTCGGTTATTAGAGTTTGCACCACCCAGGGACCTCCTCCGAGGCCAGGAGGACCTAAAAGAAGCAGTGCAAGAAGTGCTGTATTGCTGTATTGCACCTGTATTGCTGCTCTACTCTGGGGCATGTTGTTATGTGCTGTGGAATCGGCCCCCACTCAAAGCGACCCCTCGGGTTTCTGAGGCAGTATGACTACGGAAGTAGATTGCCCAACCTTCCTTCCGATCCTGGGGTATACAGGCAGGAATACACACGAATATCTATACACAAACAAGTAGCTCTGGTGGCATAAACCGTGTAGTATTCTACTGACTGAAAGATTGGTTGTTGGAACTCACCCAGTGGCTCTTGGGAGAAAGATTTGGCGATCTGCTTCCATAAAGATTATGGCCCCCAAAACCCTATGGGGCAGTTCTACTTTGTTAGATGGGGTTGCTGTGAGTTGAAATTGACACACCACCACCTAACAACAACAGTGCATACATATACTCAAGTGTGCTGCTGATATCTGTTGACCTCCAGTGTGTTCCTCTGGTGGATCCTAGATTCCAGAGAGACAGTTATGTGTTAAAATAGAGAGATATCATAAAGGATCAAGGGAATTAAATTGCCCATAATTTGGGATCTCTTGGAAAACTTCCTGGAGGAGGTCGCCTTGCTTTGTACGTTGGAAAATAGGTTTGGTACACTGGAAATGTGGTGAGTTGTGGGGTTGAGGAAGATGTAAGTGCCAATGGCATTAAAGGCCTAGACTCTGGAATTTGAGGTCTGTATTCAGGGAACAAGGAGCTGGTGGTGCAGTGGTTAAACTCTTGGCTGCTAACTGAAAGGTGTATGTTTGGAACCTGCCAGCCACTCTGTGGGAGAAAGTTTTGGCAGTCTGCTTCCATAAAGATTATAGCCTTGGAAACCCTATGGAGCAGTCCTGCTCTGTCTTATATGATTGCTCTGAATCTGAATTGACACAATAGTTGGGTTTGGCTTTTGGTATTAAGGGAACACAATCTGGAGCCCAGGATGTGTAATAGAAGTATAAAAAGTATAAAAAGAGGCTGGAGAAGGAGGTTTGAGGCCATGTCAAAGGACCCTTACACCTTGCTAAAGAACTTTAGCCCTGTCTTTAGATGATCAAGAGCCTTTTTGAGCAGAGAAAGGACAGCAAGATTCTTGTTCAGAAGGATAGTTCTGGCAGAAGTTTGGAGAGCGGACTGTAGGGTCTAGTGGCAGGAGCCCAGTTAAGAGTTTCCAGCAGTTTCTAATTGACAATTGTAGACTGACACTTACCCAGAAGCACCTGCCTAGAACCAGCTCACCTGGGTGTTGACTATGTACTATCCAGTGATCCAAGTTCAGTAGAAACCTACCTACCCTTTCACACAGTGTTCCCAGTTCCACTATAGCCCAGAGCCTAAATAAGGAATCATTGTGGCTCTGACTGTATTTACCTTCCAAGCCTCATTTCCACCTTCCAGGAGAGCCCTCAAGTCTCCAGCCAAGTCTTTACCTCATTGCAGGCTTGGTTTACTCACTTTTGCTCCTTGGGCTACTCTCTGGGATTTTTTTGTTTTTTCTTTAACACACTGCAAAGTGACTTGTGTCCTATCATGTTCTGAAGAAATGATGAACAATGCCTCCTTTGTTGACCTGCAACCTGGGCCAATAGGTAGGACTTTTCTTTCTTATTTTAAACAGATGGAAAAGTGGTGATGAAAGAAAATTGTTTGTTGCTTTTGAAAAAAAGTGGGGTTTTCCTGTGTGTTTGAAATCCTCTCAGTGAAAGGTAATTGGCCTGTGGAACTACCCCCTTTCTACCGTGCCCCTAATAAATTTTTCAAGCTTCTTAAAATGTTCCTACTCAATGTCTGACTTAAATTAAAAAAAAAAAAAAAAAAAAAAAAAAAAACTGCACAAATTCACTGACCCAGATTTTTCCAAGGAACTAAACCCTTCCCAGGGAAGCATGTGAACCCTTCCAGGTTCCCCCCAAATCTAGTAGTGCAAATGACTCCCTTCACTAAGCTCTGCTATGACATTGACTGCTGTCTGCTATTGCGCCCTAATTAACTAGCCCCATATGCCACCCCCTGTCCCCTCCGACTTAGGAGCTTTATTCATCATTAGCTCTGGCAACCCCTCAGGGCTTGGCACCCTGAAGGTGTGTGGAAAATGTTTGTTGAATATGGTCAAGTTAGAATCTCACTTAGGCAGTCTCATAGATCAAATAGTTAATCAGCAACTTATTTATTGCCACCTAGGAGTGCTTAGTCTGAAAGAATGAGTAAGTAACTTTTTTTTTTCTTCAAATGTGCATTTTAGATAGAGTGACAGAGACAGCAAGTATCCAAAAAATACCTATGATTTGTGTCTGAGCCAGAAAAAAAAAAAAAGTCTGTGA